TTGGTCTCCATATCAGCAGGGTTAAACTATGATGAAATCTTGTCCAACATGATATCTCCAGCATCCACAATCTCCCGAATGAAATGGAACATGACATCAATATGCTTAGTCTTGTCATGAAACACATGAATTTTGCAAAGTTTTATGGCAAACTGACTGTCTGAATTGAATAAGCAGTAATTCCCCACTTAAGAAAATCAATGTCACTGACAAGCCTTTTAAGCCAAATAGCTTGATTAAAAGGTGCAGTTGCAGCCACATGTTCAGACTCAGTAGTGGAAAGAGCAACAATAGGTTGTGGTTGAGATTCCAACTAATGCATGAACCACACAAAGTAAAAATATAAGAAGTGGTAGACATTCTATTATCCCTGTCATTAACATAATTAGAATCCACATAGCCATTGTTTAACACTACTGTATCATCAGGACACTTAGCAAAAATCAAACCATGTTTCACATTAGCTTTCAGATATCTCAACAACAATTTTAAAGCATTCTGGTGAGGCATACCAGAATTAGACATAATGGCTTAAAACCTGATAGCATTAGCAATGTCTTGTCTAGTACTGACCATAAGGTACATAACAGACGCAATAACACTGGGATAGGGACACATTTCATCTTGTCAATTTCAAAATCAATTTTGGGAGATTGATCCTTATAAAGCACAAAATGAGATGTCAAATGAACATTAACAGGAGAAATATATTGCATATTGAATTTACTCAAAACCTTTTCCACATAAGAATCTTGGTTTAGCAAAAGAGTAGATATATGCTTCTATCCCTAATGATTTTAATGCCTAGGATCCTCTTTGCATTTTTGCACATGAACGATGGAATCAAGGTTGGGCTTAATGATTAGCATATCATCCACATAAAGCAATAAGAACATAGGCACAGAGGAATTATTCTTATAGTATAAGCAATGATTACAAGCAGATTTAGCAAACTTCATAGATTTCATGCTTTAATCAAACTTAATACTCCATTATATAGGAGATTTCTTCAGACCATACAAGGCCTTTCTTAGCAAACACACATAATCACTTTTTTGGGATCCACAAACCCTTCTAGTTGGGTCATATAGATCTTTTTATCAAGATCACCATGCAGGAAAGCAGTGATAACATCCATCTGTTTCATTTCCCAATCAAAGTGAGCAATAAGAGCAAACATAAAACTAACAGTAGTTAACTTAACCACTTGAGCAAATATCTCAGCATAATTTATTCTCTCTTTTTGAGTAAACTCTTTGTCCACTAACCTAGCCTTAAACCTCATATTGTTAGGTCCTTCTTTAACCTTAAACAACCATTTACGCTCTACAACAGAGCAGTTTAGAGGTCTGGGAACTAAGGTTCAGGTTTATATAACTCTCAGAGACTTCATCTCACTATTTACCCCACCAGGATACCCTAGGAAGACACACTTCTTAGACCTGGGATCTAATTTATCCAGCTGTTAATGAACTTAGGCAGCACATCCAAAGACTCTAAGGTTGGATAAGTTAAGAGGTTTACCAGAGTACATAGATTCATGGCACTTTCCTCCTAGAGGAACAGAAGGGGACATATTTATCAAATATGCAGTAGTGCTGACCGCTTCACCCTAGAATTTCTTTGATAATCAAGAGGTGCAAGTAAGCTTCTCACTTGATCAAACACGGTTCTATTCATACGCTCTGTTATACCATTCTGCTGGGGAGTATAGGGCACAGTTCTGTGCCTTTTTATTCCCCAATCAACACAGATTTGGTTCATCTCTCTATTACAAAATTCTAGACCATTGTTAGTTCTCAGGACCTTAACCTTTAGGCTAGATCGATTCTCTACAATGGTTTACCACTCCTTAAATCTCTCGAAGACATCAGACTTATGTTCTAAGAGACAGATCCAAACTTTCCTAGAGAAATCATCTATAATAGAGAGGAAGTATCACTTACCCCCATGGGTAGGGAGATTGGCAAGACCCCAAACATCAGCATTGAGAAGAATTTCATTAGATTGATATATAAGATTTTGAACAGATGAAAAACTCTCTCTCACTTAATATAAAAAACTCTCAGGTGCGGCTACTGTATGTGCGTGAAAAACTTACGCTCCTAAGCGCATATTTATATGCATAGTGTGTACAGCTTTCCATAAAAGAGCCTAACCTAGGGGATTGGGCCTTACACATAAAAATACATAAAAATACCATAAATAGCTAACTAAGAAAGATTATTTTAACAACTTGAACACAATATAAAATATCTTCAACAAATCTGCCCCTTTGTGATGAAGCGATGTGTTGCTTTTCTTTATTTCTGCTTCTTGTAATAGGTCTTCCGCGGTGCTAGAAAGTGCTCATATTGACGAAGTGATCGTTGTTTGTCGAGTTGTTCCTCAATACCTCATAGCACTTTGGAGAGTGTGTCAAATTCGTCCAGTTCGGCTTTAGATGCAACGTCAAGTCTTCCTTCATTTTCATCTTTCTTCGATTTCAGCTTGTCCCTAATGATCTTCAATGCCCCATCACAATACTTGGCAGTTTCTTCAATCTTCATCAGGCGCTTCTTTTCTTCATGATTCAAGTAAACTATCGCGACCGACTTGTCAAAAATGTGATATTAAGCAAAATAATTGGGGTATAGTCATCAATATGTTTTTCACCAGTTTGTTTTATATTTTGAAGTAGTTTGTTAAAAACATCCAAATTCTCATCAATATCTTTGGTGAGGTCAAGCGTGAAGCGGAAAAAAATTTCAAGTAATAAAAGTTTTCCAGGTAAGGAAGTACCAGTATACAAACTATCAAGCTTATCCACAACTCTTTAGCAGAGTTAAGTATACCTACTTTCCTTAAGTATACCAGGTCAGAAAGATTTAAGTAAATTTTGGAACAAAGAGTTTCATTCATTTCAAGTTGTTTGGCCTCTTTTTTTCAATTTCTAAACATTTGTTAGTGATAGCTCTGAAAATCTTTTGCTGAATTAAAACACATTTAATCTTTTGCTTCCAGATAACAAAATCAGTTTTCCCATTAAAAGATAACATTTCATACTGATTAGCAGTCATGGCACTAAAACTGAAACCTATGGAAGTCACACAAACAAACACAGGAGGAAAAAACCTAGAAGGTTTTGGCAGTGGGCTAGCTAGGAGAACACATAGTTCCGAGGCCACTAGAGTGACTGGCAGGTATCCCCTAACCCTAACACCGTGTGCCTTAACCAACCAGAGAAAAAAACCCTCAGATTATCCGTAGGCAGACAGAACACAGAAGAACCAAAAATTCAGAATAATCGAGAAACCTTAGAAAAACGGGGAACACTCAGTCCGGGCCGGAAAACCGGACTGAACCGGACTGGTCGGTCCAGACCGGACCCGGACCGGATAAATACCGGTCCGGTCCGGTCCAAAACCCAAAATATTCTGGTCCGGACCGGTTAGACCGGAATTTAGTTATTATATTATACGGTGTGTGTGTATTAAATTTGTACACACACAAACACATACTCCGTACATACATTAATTAATTTACTTAAAAAAGTACATTAATAAAGTGATACAATACATTAGATATTATGTCAAGTTACATACTTCATACGTAGTATTATTTACATCTTTAAACTAGTAAAACTTTATAATATAACAACATTAGGAGTTGGAATATAAAGGTGCATTGTATTTACTTATGGTTACTTGTTTTAATCATAATACATAGTGTGATTAATTGAATTCTTCTTTGTGTTAAATACACAAAGCTATTGAGTAAAATCATTCACTGAATTAATCAAGCAAGAACATTAGTCAATATTGAATCACATAGTTTTCATATTTGCACTAGGCATAGTTCATGTGTTTATTTCTACTTATTCATGTATTATAATGTATATTATATTGATTAAAAGAGACATAAAAATGCAAATCATACATACGAATAAATTATTTATAAACACATATAAAACATCATAAAATAATACTCCGTAATAGAAACAACGAGCTAATAAGTAAATTATTGAACAATCAAAATTGTTTTTTAAAATGAAACATTGTAAAAACAATAAAATCAAAAATCTGGTCCAATACCGGCCCGGACCAAAAAACCCGAATTAATCCGGTCCGGTCCGATCCTGACCGGAGTTATATAGGTCCGGTCTTCGGTCCACTTTTTTAGAAGAGATAATTACCCTAGGTATAACTAAGACTCAATGAGTTTTCTAATCTATGACCTAACCGTTAGGCTGACATATCTTCCATCTCAGGTCTCCAACCACACGAACCCGAATCACAATCACCACACAGAACCACCGGGAATAAGGGAACCACCACAAAGGCACAACAAACCCAAACCCAACTATCTTCTCTAACCACTCCCTTGAACCCATAGAGCGCACACACACACACTGTTGAAGTGGTCAGAGGCACGGAAGAAGAGGATCGGTTAGAGAGAAGCTGAACTCCCTCTCTCTAAAGGGTGTCTCTAGAATTAGGGTATGACTAACGCGACTCAAACAGTCAAAGACCATCTGAAAGATATAACTCATATAAGTAGGCACACCAAGACAAGCCCAACGAGGTGAACGAGGTAAGTAGGGTAAAGAGAGGGAATGGGACGAACACAGAGGCGGATGCAACTATGCAAGCAACAAAGAAGCAAAAGGGTTTGGGTTGGGCTGCGGGTAGGACAGGCCCAAGTCACAGGGAAAAATATGAAGGCCTTAGCCATTGGGCCAAGGGCCCAATACCCCCCACGCGGGCCACGTGTAGTATAATACATAGTATTTGTTTATTAATGTTTCCAAAATTGATGTGCTTATCAAAAGAGCATCTTTCATCTTTCTTCAAAATTGAATAGATATGGCTTGAGCCTTCAGCCTTCATGTATCCAAAATTGAACCATGTGGGAGTTTGGTATCATACACTAAGGTCAACAGCAACCTCCTGAGTACTTTTATTTGGGCGGGAGTACTATTCCACATATCTAATATCTTTTGCTATTAGATACTCCGTATTAATTAATAAACATAGATATACTATGTATAGATTATACTCCGTATATCCTTCCAAACCAATAACTTCAACTGTTTTTTTTATTATAACACAATTCAAAGTACAATATTCAGTTTTTGATAAAAACTATTGGCTGATAGGACTAAACGAAAAAGTTGAGTTACGACACTCTAGCTCTGCATGTTGTGTGCATCACTTGAGCAAATGACCTCCAAAGGTTGAAGCATGCTTTCTCTGTGTTACTCATTCTGAATATCTGTCAGCATCTGTTAACCAATTAATTAATTCATATATAAAAAAGCTAACAACTAGTTAATCAGGAGTGACACCAACGAGAGCATGCAAAACAAAACTTCACATGGTCTCCAAGCCTCCCTGAGATTGAGAATGAGACTTGCCAAACGTGTCCTTCCATCCCATTTCGCGAGCTCGTGTTTCCCATGTGGCACTCAATCTTTTCTGTGCCACTAAAGTTGCATCTGCTCTTTCTCTCGCCGCTTCACAAGTCTCCATTCCGGAATTGCACTTGTCTGCTTCCTTCATATACTGAGATGTCAGTTTTTTAGCCTCTAACAATGCTGTGTCGGCACGTCTCTGATTTTCAACACCTTCAATGCCTCTCAGTTTCAGTTCCTCGGATAATAATTCTTCGAGGTTCTTTTCTGTGTCCTCCCCCACTTCTGGATCATGTTTTGCACATTCTGTTTTTTTTAACTCAGCAGTCAGGAAAATAATAAGCTGCAATCGACTGTGTAAACTATCCGAGTATTTAATCTGAAGCTAATGTGTGATTTGAAGTCTTGAAAATCACCCATGGAATGCAAAACCTAATGTTTTACCACATGGAATGCATAGAATATAATAATGTCTCTTAGATGGGGGTTAACAATTTTAAATTTGTGATAGAGTAGAGGACTATACTCATATGGTTTCTAGGATGTCCTAACCATTAGAGGATATGTTTTCCCCATTAAAAAACTTCATTTTAAGTCACCTGAACTACTAAATTGACAATCCTATGTACTAATTTCAGAAAATTGAAAAGGTGAAGAACAAGAGAGGATCTATGGAAGCAACCATCTTGTCTTTTAGGGAAACTACTACAGTAGTTCCTCATGTAATTAGATCCTTTTGAAGGTAAGGGTGGACCCGGGATGGTTCCTCCTAGGGATTAAGAGGTATCAAAAGTCCAAAACCTTAACTGCGAAAACAGGTTCCGGTTTGGCGGAACCAGAACGGTTCAGACCTATTCCGAACACTAGTTCCGGTTCTGAACAGGAATCGGAGGAACCGGTCAGGTTTGCAGAACTGTGTGCACTCCTATTTGAAGACAATTAGGTAACAAACAATCCTTACAGCCATTTTTTTCCAGGAAGCATTTTTGTAGAAAATAGGAATGATCAACTTCATAAAACAGCTCCGAAGTAGACGTAAATTAATACTTTGTTTGGACCTATATATGTGTGTGCGCGCGCGCCTGTATGGAATATGTATAATGTATCACCAACCTGTAAAAGAGGCATTGCTCAATCCTGTAAGGAATAAAAAGAGTAGATTCTTGTGAGGATTCAATTTGATAAAAGATAAAAAACACAAATACATGCTGATAGTATCAATAAAAAGAAAATCTAAGAGAGAAATATAGATGATAAAACAGCTACATGAGGGCTTTTAAATATCAAACTACCACTAATACCAGCAACGTTTTTTGCTGAGAGTGAGAGATAAGAAGCTAATGCAAATCAGGTTTCCTTCACTCACACTAAGGCTCGTTTGGTACACAAAAAGAAATAAAGGGAGAAACAAAGTGGGAGAAGAAAGAGTGGGGAATAAAGATGTAATCCAAATCTCGTAGTTTGGTTGATTAGAGTAAATTTAACTAGATTAATGAGGAAAGAAAGTAATAAAGATAAAACTAACAAAATGCCTTTTGTATAAGACCAAATCACCATGGTAATTGAGCCAACAAAGAGCTACGCACAATGGGGAAGTGAAGGGCTCAGGGTGGTTAGCTGACCCCATTGAAAGTTTGAGCATGTAGAGTGTCGAAATACCTTCATTTTAATATGTTACGGGTCTGGTAACCCATTCCAAGCCAAAACTTATGACCCCAACTATTTAAAACTTGAAATAGGTAAAATTGAGATTATATACTTCTAATTCTAAGAATATGGATCACACACTTACGAGAGTGTGAACGAGTATAATTCACCGGAAAATACACATTTATGTGCGTGTCATCCTTGCGCAGGGGCCATGCTAATCTTCTCTGTATCGTTCCAATTTTATCGGATGTCCCCGAAGGGACAAATACACATTTATGTTTCATTTCTTTAATTTTACGAGTACATTTTGAAAATTAATGTCTTATTCATTCGTTATTTGCTTGAAACTTATAATATCTATGTCAAATCAATAAACTCTTAATTCTTTATTACTTTATTAGACATTATACTATGACGTATATAACAGGATAACCATACAAACTTCCTAATGGGCCTGGAAATGTGTTGGCTTCTCTTTTTTCAGTAGGGGCGGATCATTGAATCTGTATTGGGCGGGACTGAGGAGTGATAGTAAGAGGAGTGATAGTCATCCGGATATAGTAAGGGCATCCTCATCCATAAGTTTATTTGAGATCAATCTTAATGACGCGGGTGATATTTTTTGAGATTATTTGAAGAGATTATTTTGAAAAATAATCTAGTATCAAATATCAAAACCTTGATTATTCAAGATTATTTTCAAAGATCAAGGTTCAAAACATAATTACGTCATCTTTTAATGTGCCCATTCTTGAAATTTGTTATATACATACTATGGCTGCAAATATGTACTACTAGTACGTAGCATATATAGGAAAAGGAGGAAGCTTCATGCCTTCATAACCCTTAAATACATTCATTAAAATTAAGTGAGAGATTCTAAATTTAAGCGTATGTTTCATAAAAATCTGGATAAATACAGTTCACGGTTGAGAAGAAGATAATAAGTTTTGAGATTTTTACACGACAATGACATGGCAAAAATAAATTATAAAAAATCATAAATTTGGAGAGCATCAATGAAGATGCTCTAATAGCTACCTCAAATACCAAGGCCGAAGAGGGAAACAGAGGTGTATGCAGATCTGGGCGTAAAGGGAGCAAAACTCGGGCAGGGCTTTTACCTCGAGGAACGGAGAGGAGTGGATGAGAATCGCAGGCGCAGTTGCAAGGAGGGCATGAAGAAGAGTAAGGCGAAGAAGAACGGGTGACTGCCGCTGCAAATCCTTCAATGAGGTGCCAGTACAACGGCGGACCTAAAATGTATCCAGCCAAGCACATCGCCATCAACCCAAGCGCCACCTTTACCCCCCATCGCTGAATCATGAAGCTATTCTCTCTCTCTATCTGCTCGTTAAAATGAAACAATAGAAGTTGGACTGCGGAAATTAGATCATTTTCCACACTTTACTCCGCTCAACAGCTTTCAGGAGCCCCAAAGTCCTGGGGGATCGCCCTCCAGTGAACCTGATCCGACGATGACACGTGCATTGTGCTTAATAATTACTCCTTAATAAATATACTTGCTTAATAGTACCTTCAGCTAGAATAGATCTTTATTACTTTATCGATTCAATATCAATGGTATAAATTCATTTTTCATAATAATCTTGTCAACTCCTCTTATTCCAATGTTAGTGGAACAAGTTGATAATATTTATATCTCTAATAAATACGTAGTATTTCATCATCCCATAAAACAAACTTAGTCAAAGTTGATTTGCGATTAATAAAGTAAAACCAATGGGGTTGATATTTACGTAAATGCAAGAAAAATGATTTTAGCCACATATTTGTTATTTTAAATGAAAACTAAGCGATGAACACGTGTGTTGCAAAGGAAAAATCAATTCACATTACTCAAATTAAAAAGAGATTGAATGAACATTTTTTACTACCTCCGGTGAGGGTAAGGTTCTCGTTGAGTTTATGATGTTTGACAAGTCATAAAGTTAAATAACCCTTGTTAATAATAAAATTATTTTTATAAAATGAAATTTACATATTCATAAATTACATTAAAATTCTTGTAAAGTCACAAAAAAGTCAAATTTGATAAAGATGAATATATATATAGTAAAGGATTAAGAACAATTCACATTAATTTTAATCTAATTTTTTTATTTTATTAATTAAATACATTTTAAATATGGAGTATATCTTTCATGGGTGTATTTTTATTTGTCGACAAACCGGTTCGATTTGAGTGAGCCGAACTGTATCAAATTGAATTGAAACTAAACATGCAATTTAGTTTGAGTTTGGTAGTATGTCTTCCAAATCAAATTAAACCAAACTAAAAGAAATCAAAACTGTGAAAAAAGCGAATAAGGTGGAGCCGAACTCAAATAGTCAATAAAGTCTTAATATATTTAATAAAAACAAATCAAAACCGAAACGAACCGAATAAATTTGAACCGAACCAGAAGATATTATGGTTTTTTTGGTGATCATGCTTCCAAACCGTTTTAAACCGATAATAATAGCCCGTTTGGTAACACTGAAATTGGCTGAATTGTCTGATTCTGCTGAAATTTATGAAGTTCTGGCTGACGTGCCTGTATTGGCTCATTCTGCTAATTTATAAAAAATATATTTTAAAATATTTTTTATTAATAAACAAAATAAAAAATTATATTAAAAAGTAGTTAAAATGATACTCTATAGTAACTTCAGCCAATACAGCCAGAAAAGTAACTTCAACCTTATTTTTTCTTATTATTACGCAATTCGGCATGCGGAATCAAAAGTTACGTGTTTGCTGAAAAAACTAGTTGATAAGCCTGATAAGCCGAAAAAAGAGCTACCAAACGGGCTCTAAATCCGATAAAACCCGATTTGAAACTGTTATGTTCACCCCTACTATTTTTATATATAAGTTTGTTAGTCAGTGTGTTGTATTTTTTTTATAAGAGGAAATTTTTCCTTTTAGGGTAAAAAAATCGTGTTTTTTAAATTGAAAAATCTAATTTTTACTTTCCTATTTTATTCTTTTATCTGCATTTTTAATTTATCCACTTATTTTTTGTAAACTAAAGGCTACTTTTTCTTATCCATTGAATCTATAAATTGTAAATATGAGGTATTCCATGTACGTAATCACAAATTTGAATAATTTTCTGAAATTGTAATTGGATTCAAGTAATTTTGGATGTTGATTATGCTATCCTTAATTTGTTCAAATTTTAAGTGTAATTACCCTTGATCGCACATTTGCACACATGTGGTAGGACACTATATACGATTCATATAACGCCTATCTTCATTACAATTCGAGTAAATTGACGCCGGTCCCAAATTATTCATCGCAAAAACGTCAATTTTCTTGTAGTGGATTGAATTGCATGCCCGTCTAATTTAGTGTCACTATAGACCAATTTAATAATATAATATTATATTATTATAAAATTTATATACTAAGTTATTGTAGCTTAATTTCAGTAAAAAAGTTATTGTAGCTTAATCATTTCGGTCCCATGCATGCATGCTCCTTTAATATGAAGTGGCCAAGCATCTCACATTTATGAAGCGTATATTCCCTATCATATTCTACGTATAATAAATAACTTAATTTAATGAGCCCAAAAATAATTCAATGTGGGAATAGGCAAGAATAATTGAAGAAATCCAATTGCCCACCCAACTCCTTTATTTTTTATAAAGATTATTACAACTTTTTTAGGATGATCAATAAAGAAAGTTTGACCAAATTTTAAGGGATGGATGAAATATATGAATATACGAATTACGAAGTACATGAAACCAACTAGAAAGTAGATGCCCAACACATGTTTGTTGGCTAAACTACCAAATTTGTAAAAGAAGAGGATGATTTCCTAAATTGGTAAAAAAAATCCAGAGGCAGATTAATAAAAAAATAAAGCTCCAGTGATAAATTGGTCAATTTTTTGTGAGTGAGACAATTCTAGTACTCGACTTTAGAATTCTCGACATTTGATCCTCTAAGTATTATGAACACTAACGATCTTACTAGTATTAAAAAAAGTCTACTCCATAAAATGACTGAATATTTTTACTATTTTATCAGTATGAATATTTTTGCTATTTGGAGTTGCATTTAAAAATACTAACAAAATAGTCATATTTAAAATATTGTTACTAAAAATAAATGAATTTATATGTGTATGCGCGTGTAAATGTACATGTATGTGTTAAAAAGTGATAGTGATAGTAGTTATATAAAATAAAAGTATATATAATTGTTAAAACTTATTCCAAAACTTATTAAAAATAAAAGAAATAAAGTTAAGTTCAATATATACACTTTTAGATTCATATGTTTAATAGTCATTTTACGTCTTAACAGCTAATCGCAAACATCTAAGTTACTAAACAGTTTACTTCAAATCACTAATGAAAGCGATTGGTTAAAACGGCTAACAAAATACGTTAGTATCAATTGGCTATTGGCTAGTAGCCGACCTCTAATTGTTAAACAACCTCGTTGACATTTTTAGTCATCCACTTTTCATGATAAAATCACAATAGAAGATCTTGAAATGTCAATTTTACAATATTTATGAGACTAAATGTCGGGAATTCTAAAGTCAAAGACTAAAAAAATGTCTCACTTACAAAAATTTGACCAATTTATCGTCAGAGCTTTAATTTTTTTACCAATTTTTCTCAGGAGGTTTCTAAGTTCTTAGCATCGATTGTAAATGATGTTTTAGTATCTATTGCTATAAAATGTGTTACATGTTCTATATTTTGGCGCAGTTGTGTACTATTAACAAGTGTAAGAACAATATTGTTTGAGAATGACAAAAAGGATAGTATATAATTTGGGTATGACTGAATGATTACAAGGGTTTGAGTGTATGATACAAAAAGTAAAAGCTTTATTATATGAAAAAGATTGTATTTTTTTGTATTGCATACATAAAAGATCAAAATCCTTATATATGTAATAATAAGGATTTATTTTATTCTTCATAAAAAAATCATTTCTCCTTGCAAAAGTTTCATTCAATGCGGATGGATTTTAGTATTTTGTGTTTGTTTGTTGGAGTTGGTGGTGTGTATAAGTTCTTCGGGAATTCTTAATATTTTGTTGGGGGTGCTAAACTTTCCCTTCAAAGGAGTGGATGCAGGTGTACTTGGTAAGACACTATTTTCGGTGGTTGAGGTGTCTTCAATTTCTTCCATGCAAATAATTGTGCACGTTGTTTTTGTCTGACCTTGGAATTGGGTTTGTCTGTAACCTATTTTGATTTGAAAATAGATGCCCTCGATCACCTCATCTTCCCCTTCATATTGATTCCTTCTTTCTACATGAAAACAATGTGAAAGTGTCAGTTTTTTATTTTAGAAATTTTCTTGAATGCAATGAATATACCTGAGTTTCTTTTTCAATGGTTTCTTGTAAACCCATGACAAGCAATTCCTCTTCCGTTTCTCCGAAGAGTACAATTTAGATCTCATTGACCCCATCAATTATTGTTATAGGAACCTTGCACAGTTGCACTTGTTGATGTATTAAGTTACGGAGTACTTTTTACGGAGTAGTATATATTGTTTTGTTATTTTGTATTATGTTGTTACCTGGCCTTAGCAATGTTGTTCTGGTTCTCGCATTTGTGACAATGGAAGATTGCATTCAAAACTTCTCCAGTCGCTTTGCAACATGTATTGCACGCGATGTAGTAAAAGGACGAAACTTCTTTGATATTCACACTTGCAACGATGCATGAAATGTTTCCTCGCAACTGGATTAATTGCATAAATAAAAAATATCATAGAAAAATGTTTTATAGTATCGAATTATCAAAATACTATTTTCTACATGTAGGCTTAACTATTTACGTTGGTTTAGTTAATTTTAAGCTAACTTCATACTTCTATCTTCATTATACATAAGGGACTAAAACGGTTAGATTTCAAGAGGTAATTTTTGTGTAGTTACAAAAAATGTTTTGTCCATGCATACCATACAACTTATATTACTATATGATATGATAACTTTCATAACATTTATATAACACCATACCACAACATCGTGTTCTTAAGTAAACATGATATTTGACTCGTACTAACTACATGGTAGATACTCTTAATCTCTTAGTATCTATTTTTTAATGGCAATGTCATGCTATGAGCTCAGATAATACTACTTTTACTTGGTACTTTTAGACAAAGATGCTTTGGATTCATTCATTTGTGTTAATAGTATCTGAAAGAACATATGACATTACATGAACAACTTGAAAATGTACGTAATACAAAGCGGATCATATGTAAGCAAACCTTCCTAGAAACATGGAGGATATCAGTAATTGGAACTATGGGTTATGGCCTCAAGTTAAATAGTTTAGAGGCAGAATCGTGGTAATCTTCACAAAGTATTGTTGCCTTTATTTGAATAGTGTTTGACAAATCCCTAAAAGTAGTATGTACAATAGTTAGTTTTTATAATATACACAGATGCAACTACATATGAATCCCTTATTCAAGGTTTGGGTCTTGTGCCCTTCACAAAAGAATATACTCAATTTTGAGGGAAAATCTCAAATTTGAATAAAACAATTTAAAATTTAAGGCAATCTTTTACCGGCACTAATGGCTATTAAAAAGTTATTCAAGACACCTGTAAAAAAATACATCATTACATTTTCTTATACATTAGCGGGGAGTTACAATGTGGATAAAAGGGTAATGAAAAACATTAAATGAGAGTACATTTTAAGTTAAAGTTCAATAACACTAATAATTTTAAGATAAAGCACATCCCGAGATCGTTTAACAGACACTGAGCATTTGCTAAGAAGGTTTTTCCTTTACCAATACAAGCTTACATATGGGTATTATGTTTTGTAAGTTTGAAGCATACCTATTTACCCTATTACAATGACGTTTCCTGCAAACGAAATTGAGAACTTTTTTCGAATCAATTATTGTCTAGTCTCTTCCCTTGAACAATTGAGAACTCTTGCCACATTTTCAAAATTACAGGCTTGCAGTTGTGTTTATTGATATCAATATTTGTAGTATATTTTGTATAATTACCGTAAAACACTAAAGGTAATATTAATAACTATGAAAAATTTAGTATTATATTTTAAACAATTATAGATGATTGATGATTTCAAATGAATATATTCTATTCAAGTGTTGGGTAATATGTGATTATGTGTAATAGTTTACTTCTCATTTATCACCAGAACATTTGCATCTTTTGTATCCCCTCTTCTTGTATCTATGTGTGTCCCTTTTTTTCGGAATCTATGTGTGTCCTTGGCAGTTTGTGAATTGCAATTCCAAGAATAGCTATTATGAAATTATTATGTTCATGAAATTAATAAATATAGCCAGTATGTCACTACACCATGATTGACATATAACAACACTAATTTAAAGTGTTGCTTCAAAAATGCAGATATACATTAAATGAAATGGGACCAAGGCATCATTATTTTAGAAACGTTGCGATATATTTGCGGGTGTTAAATATACTCTAATGCAACATTCTATTTTGAAGTGTGGCGGTTGATATGTTTATAAGTGTTATATATACTCTAATGCAACATTTTTAATGATGTTGCACTACATCATTTACTTTCTTGAAAAAAGAATCATTTCGACCGATCGATCTTATTCGATAAGTGTGGTTCTCCGAGTGATGAGGAATGGATTAGTAATAGAAAAAAGCTCACTTGCTACAATTCAGATATGCTTGCTGAAAATGAAATGAGTGGATTTGAACCATTTTATGACAACGAGAATTCTGATAATTTTTTGCTTACACCAACTGGAAGTGATGATGAAAGTGAGGCTAGTGCAAGAAAGGAGAGTGTTACATATGAAGTCGATAATGATTCTACACTGAAAATGTTAGTATGGAAAGTAGGTATGAAGTTTGCTTCACCTGAAATTTTTAAAAAACAACTAGTGAAGCAGTACACAGAAGTGTAAACCGAATATTATCCTAAACAAAATCTAATAGGTACAGACATCAGATGATGGACTTTTCTAAATCCATTATTTTCTATAGAAACGTAGCTTTGCTAAATCCTTGATCCACCTCAGAAGCATATACATTGACACTTGATGTACTTGCTGATTTATTTATTAGATATATACAATTCTCCTTCATTTCCATTAGCTTCCCTAGAAAGAGTTCCTCCAATATACATGGGGTAAGATTGACTAAATTGTTAGCAGGCCAGACTCAATTCCTCTTTCAAACATTTCATCGACCAACTTCTCTTAATCTATTAACACATTAAATGTTACCACGTTTGTGTGGAAACATCAACAATCATCTCATGCGGGTAAAGGCAGACTGGCAGAGGAAAATCAAAGTAGACCCTTGACCTTTTCAAATTGGTCATTCTATAGCTCGTTTGGTAACACTGAAATTGGCTGAATCGGCTGATTCTATTGAAATTTATGAAGTTCTGATTGAAATGGCTGAATTGGCTGTTTCTGTTGATTTATGAAAAAATTATGTCTAAAATATTTTTTAATAATAAAATAAATAACAAATTATATGAAAAAGTAGCTGAAATTATCTCTACGGTAACTTCAGTCAATTTAACCTGAAAAGTAACTTCATCTCTATTCATTCTCATTATTACACAATTTAGCGCACGAAATCAAAAGTTGTGTTTTTAGTTAAGAAAATGACTAATAAGACTTATAAGTCGAAAACTAACATCAATAAAGGGACTTCTCACCTACAAAAATACTCTTGGTACACACTTTTTGGGTACACATTGTTTGTGTAGGCATTTTTTATGTGTGTACAGACAAAACGTATTTTGACGAAAACAATTTTTGTATGTACAAACAAAAAAAGCTTATACAAACCGTGTGTAAAAGTGTGTACCCCAAGTCCAACTCTCTCACCAATTTTTCTTCTCTCTCGATCGAATCAGATATCACGAGATGGATCTCAAGTTGTGATCTATGCAATGAACACAGGCAAGAAATAAAAAAGTGATTCAAACAGGATACTCCGTATTTCCACTTTCAAAATAAGCATTTTTTTTTGGCCCATTTCTACAAAAAAAAGGATGACACCCCATCTCTGGGGTCTCCCAACCACGACCGGACGGTACGTTAGGGGGATGTAAATTGGACTATAATCCCAATCTGACAGATAGAGAATGAGGCTATGTCCTCGGTACTTGCAGAAGTCCTATGCATTTTTGACATAATAACCCCTCATCGCAATCGCAGTTGTCGGGATTCAAATCCGGGACCTAACCCTTTGTCCAATTTCTACAAAAAAAATCCCTCTTTGCACATTTTAATCTGTCACTGATCTCCGAGTAAAGTGAGGAGGCGGGGAAGTCTTAGCCATAGCGGGGAGCATAAAAGCATTGGAAACCCCAGCAATTAGATGACATTGTAGTCTTCAATTCCCAAATGTCTCACGACACCCTAACTGATCTGATCCGGCAAATCCAGATCCTGACCCGGAAGGAATCTGGCTTACCGGACTACGACCCGAAAGATCCGACCCTCCCCCCGTTGCCTTCTGTCTCCGCTACCGTTGCTACCTTGGACCCTTCGCCTCCCAACCTCCGCTGCAAGCGCTGCCGAGGGCGGCTTCTCAGAGGAATCCAATCTCTGATTTGCATTTACTGCGGCCTGAAACAGCACCAAAAGGACGAGGCATCAGCCCCCGAACCCATTTCATTTAACTCTACTCTTAGCTATCGTTTGTTGCTGCAGTCACTCCGCCTTGATGGATCGGTATGTCAAAGCTGCATGACTCCATCTGTACACACCTTTTGCTTGTATTGTGGATGTCGTGTAATTTGTGCTGGAAATGTTGCACCTAGGTGGAGATTCACATAATGGGGTGTTAAGAATTGTGGCTTTTAACTGAAGTTTCTTTCAACTCCTGTTGTCAACTGTACAGAGGCTCGTTTAAGGGGGTGTTTGGATTGGATTCTTAAAACTGAAGTTTGGGTAAGAGTGCAGAAGTGATTCTGGTGCTCTAATTTACTCCTAGAATAAGTTTTTTTAGAAGCTGGGGGTGACCAGCTTCTGAAAACTGATTCTGATTCTGCTTTTTCTTTAAAAAAGAAGCAGAATCAGAATCGGTTCCACAATGTATCCACAATGTATCCAAACACCCCCTAATTAGTAAATAGAATTGTGTATTTAGCCAGTCCTTCTTTAAAGTGCAATTCCTAGGAAGTAAATGACTGTCATGTAAGTGAATTGGAGTTTATTGGGGGGGGGGGGGGGGATGGCCGCATGAATTGCCCTAGTCTGATCTGAATTTCTTTGAAAGAGAAAGGAGATCGCAATCTTTTGGGAGTAATGACTGACAATTCAGTATTGAAGTTCGAAAATAAAATTCTTAGCATATTTAGGTCTACAAAGATATAAAACTGAGAAGCTATAGAAACATCAATAATCAGATTAGTGAAGGGTTCTAGCTTTATGTTCTTTCCCAAGTTAACTGAAAGAAGATTGGTGTGAGCTGTAAACAATGGAAACTTTTTATACTTCCTCCGTCCCGAAAAGGTTGGCCAAATTGACTTTTCCTGTCAACGAAATCAACTTTGACCAATAATAATTTTTAATACGAAATTATTTTGAATATGAAAATTATATCAAAATGATCCTTATTCAAAATATTTTCATAAAATTATAAAATTTATAAATTATAAACAAATATAATAATTAAAATCATTGTCCAAAGTTTGTCATCATTGACCAAGAAAAGTCAATATGGCGAACCTTTTCGGGACGGAGGTAGTTATATTTTTCATCTTTTGAAGAGCAACATGATGTCTCATGCTAGTCCTGTATATGACTACATTCTACTTTTTTATCACTTTTAGGAGAGACTGGCCCTAATTTAATCACAGGCTACTAGCTCTATTTTGTCAAGTTTATGGGCGCAATGTATCCAATGTCTAAAATTTGTCTACTTTATCAATCAAGAAACACTAAAATTTGTCTTATTTATTTCGCAGATTAGTAGTGTAAAGTGGAAACATGATTCCAGTGACATGATGCTATTGTTTTGCAGGAAAAGGTTGGGCCACTTAGTGAAAAGGGTGAAACGCTTGAGTTTAAAAGAGGTCACAATATCCAAAAAGATAACATTTGCTTGTCTGAGCTCTTAGATTTTAAAATAGGATTATTCAACAACCAGGAAAAGCCAGAAACTGACCAGGAGCAACAAGGCAACAGCTCTTTAAATTATGACTTTGTTGACCTCGACAGTTTTTTCCCCAGAGCAAAGGGTGATAGTACAATTGATCCGGAAAAAATTGAACAAGCTAAAACTGTAGGTACTCATGATCATAGTTCGTTTCAGAATGCCCAGCCCCTCCAACAAGCTGTCACCCCATCTCAAGATTATGAAAGAGCTGATTTTTCTGGATGGGAGGCAGATTTTAGGTCTGCTGATTCCGAAGCTCCGAGTGATTCAAAGACATTTAACGCTGGGACTGGCTCTACAGTTGATTCTTCTATAGGTTATGCCACTGATCTTTCTGAGCACATGGATTCTATCTTCGCAAAGAACTTATGTGGGAGTGAAAAAGAAGACAAGTCAGAAACTTTGCATAAAGTGAGCGATTGGAGTTCAGGTGACTTGCAGAGTAATGCTACAACGGAAGTTTTTCAGAAAAAAGAGCCATTTGACTCAAAGGTGGAAGTGCATGATCATCATCAACAAAAGAGTTCAGACAGTCCGGCGAATGTTGACTGGTTTGAAGATGAACAGTGGCCAACTAGTTTGTCCAGTGCAGCAAACGTAGGAGAAGATTCGATTGATGAGTGGAATGATTTTACCTGCTCAAGCAATGTCAAAGATCTTCAGGAAAAGGAAAGCACACAAGTTGAAAATCAGGCCAACTTTCATTTGGACAGTATAGAATCTCATACTGCCAACGCACCCAATTATAATTCAACGGATGCGGATGGGGATATGTTTGAAGATTGGAATGATTTCACAGCATCAACTGTCATATCAGAAAATGATAATGCTGCAAATACTTTTGGAAACACTTTAGGGTTGAACTTTTTTAGCTCTAATGAGTTTGGCGATATGAATCCTTGCAACTTTTCGCATTCAGGGACTAAGATTCCTGGACTAGATCACTCCTTGGGCAGGTCTGTAGATATTATTAGATTAGACTTGATATATTTGAAGTTTTTGTACATGTGTTTTCAATCTTTCATCCTCTTCCTTGGAGGGAAAAAGGCTCCAGAATATGAAACTTAAAAGCATGCTGAAAATATGCTAATGAAATTACGTACCTTTAAAACCTCACCCTCACTAAAAACAGATTTCATTTTTTTAAAATTGCTCTGATTAAAGTACTGATGCTATCCAATCTTAATAGAAATAATTGCAAATTAAATTTCTTAAATTTGGATTATTGTTTATGTTAGGTACACATTTTTTCTTTGGACAAAAAAAAAACTGATGCTATGCAATACTTAATAGAAATAATTCCAAATATATAACCAAAGTAAAAGTATGTTAGAGTCAAGGGAAGTCAACCTCTTGATAATAATAATAGTATTAGCTATTATGATAAAGTGTATTCTAGAAGGAAAGGGAATAATAAGTAGCTAGCTGTATTGTTTGTGGGGGTCGGGTGGACTTCTATAAATAGATAGCTAAGGGATGAATAAGGCAGGCTGTAATTTTGGTAGTTGGCTGGGACTGGAGAGTTGACATCTCTTTAACTGTCAGGCTCTTTCTCTCTCTTTTCTGTTGATCGAATAACAATCTTGTTCACTGTTCATCTTTGTTCCTCTTTTTCTGTCTCAAACCTCACTGATTCCAGATAGATACTTAACATTGGTATCAGAGCATCGACCTGGTAACCTGTACATGTTAGTTACGAGAGGATCAACAAGAACAACAATGGAAGTTAGACTGGAAAACCTGGAACGCGAGTTGGAACGTAGTCGTCTGGACATGTTGCGAGAGTTGGAGAAGACTCGCATGGAGGTGCTCCGCGACCGCGACCGCGAAGACATGCGCGAAGAGGCTCAGCGAACTCGCGATGAGTTGCGCCACTTAATAATGCAGCGAGGCGAGTCGCGCGGAAGATCCAAAACAACGAAGCGAAGTAAGCGACATGATAGCAATGAATCGTCTTCGTCTTCGTCAGGTAAGCATCAATCTTCTTCGCGAAGTGATGATTACAGTAAATTGATGGAAAAGTCTGGAAGGAAAGTAGATTTAGCACTCTTTAATGGACATGATGCTTATGGATGGATAGTTAAGTCTGAGCGTTTCCTTAAAATGAACCATATAGAGGAAGATGATAATTAGAATTAATTACTTTAGCAATGGAAGGTAAGGATCTTAACTGGTTTCAGTGGTGGGAAGAACACACTGAGATGAGAAACTGGGAATCATTCAAGTTTGCCTTGACTCGCAGATTTCAACCAGGATTGATACATGATCCTTATGGCCCCTTATTGAGTGTAATGCAAACTGGCAGTGTGATGGAGTATAGGGAACAATTTGAGTTGATGGTGGCACCCTTGAAACAGACTGATTTGAAAATACTCAAGGGAATCTTTATGAAGGGTTTGAAAGATGAAATCAAAGCTGAATTAAAATTATATCCAGTCAGAACTCTTGCAGAATTGATGGATAGGGCTTTGCTTGTTGAACAGAGGAACCAAACTCTCAGATCTGCCAAAAACAAGGAAGAAGATAGAAGAGGAATGAAGGAAAAAGGGTATACTGTATTACAGAATCACAAATGGATGGATGAAAATAAGTGGAAGAGCAGTATGAATAACCAGTCCAGTCAAGGGAAACCTGCAGTAGAAAAGAAAATGGAGACGGAAAATAAAGAGCAGGGAATAAGGAGTACACACAGACGATCTCAAGCTGAGTTACAAGAATTGAGCAGAAAAGGTTTATGTTTCAAATGTGGTGAAAGATGGGGCAGAGATCACGGCTGTAAGATGAAACATTTTCAGATCATCATGTTGGATGAATCTGAAGAGGAGGAGGATGTATTGGACAATACTGTTACAGAACATGCTTCACAGTTGGAAGAGACAGACCTGAATAATATGCAGCTATCCCTTATGAGTAAAGAAGGGATAACAACTCCTAAGACTTTTAAATTGAAAGGCAAGTTAAGGAGCCACATAGGAAATAAAACCATCATAATTTTGATTGATTGTGGGGCCACACACAATTTTATATCTCATAAGTTAGTACAAGCAGCAAGGTTACCTGTTCTCCAGATTCCAGAATTCAAGGTGGAGATAGGGAATGGAGACATAATCAGAAACGATGGGAGGTGTGAAGCTGTTTCTCTTAACATTCAACAGATTGACATCACTCAAGACTTCTATGTATTAGAATTAGGAGAAACAGAGATGGTTTTGGGACTGGAATGGTTAGCAAGTTTGGGAACTGTTGAATTCAATTTCAATCAATTAACTATCAAATGGAAGGAGAAGGATAAAGTAAGGCAGCTTCAGGGAGATACCAATCTCAGCAGAAATCAGGCCTCTTTCAAATCTATCATTAAGACTATGCAAGAGCAGAAAGAAGGATACTGTTTGTTCAGCCACGCAGTTACAGAAAACAAGGTGGAAGGAGGAAAGGAAAAATTATGGATGCAAGAAATGATAACACAGTTTGCTGAAGTATTCCAACCCCCAATTGGTTTACCTCCAAAAAGGGAATGTGACCATGCCATTACTATAAAAGAAGGTGAAAATCCTCCAAACATCAGACCCTATAGATACCCGCAGTACCAGAAGAATGAGATAGAAAAGGTTGTGCAGGAGTTGTTAAAAACAAGCATTATCAGGCCTAGTACCAGTCCCTATTGTAGTCTAGTATTAATGATGAAGAAGAAAGATGGGGGGTGGCGCTTTTGTGGTGATTACCGAGCCCTAAATAGAATTACAGTCCCTGACAAGTTCCCTATTCCAATGATAGAAGAACTTTTGGATGAACTGGGGGGAGCACAGATTTTTTCTAAATTGGATTTGAAATCCGGCTACCATCAAATCAGGGTGAAAGAAGAAGATATTCACAAAACAGCTATTAGAACACATGAAGGCCACTATGAATACATAGTTATGCCTTTTGGTCTCACCAATGCTCCTTCTACATTTCAAGCTTTGATGAACAAGGTGTTGAGACCCTATTTAAGGAAGTTTGTGTTGGTTTTCTTTGATGATATCTTGATCTACAGCAAATCAGAGGAGGAACACATTGAGCATGTCAAGAAAGTAATGCAGATATTGAAAGATAATCAGTTGGTGGTCAATCAAAAGAAATGTGAATTTGGACAGAAAAAATTGGCTTATTTAGGTCATATTATATCTGGAATGGGTGTGGAGGCAGATCCCAGTAAGGTGCAGGATATGTTAGACTGGGAAAAACCCAAGGATGCTAAAGGCTTGAGGGGATTCTTGGGACTAACAGGTTATTACAGGAGGTTTGTTAAAGGGTATGGTAAGATAGCAGCACCCCTCAACAACCTACTGAAGAAGGATGGATTCCAGTGGACACAGCAATGGATGCCTTTGAAGAACTGAAACAAGCTATGACCAGACTGCCAGTTCTACAAATTCCAGATTTCAACAAAACCTTTGTTATAGAAGCAGATGCTTCTGGAAAAGGGGTTGGAGCAGTATTAATGCAAGAAGGGAGACCTATATCTTACATGAGCAAAACTTTGTCAACCAGAAATCAGAATAAATCAGTTTATGAGAGAGAACTGATGGCAATTGTTTTGGCAATACAGAAATGGAGATCTTATTTGTTGGGGAGAAAATTCGAGGTGCACACAGACCAAAAGAGTTTAAGGTTTCTCACAGAACAAAGATTATTGGGGAGGATCAGCAAAAGTGGGTTACTAAACTTTTGGGGTTCAATTTTGTCATTAAATACAAACCTGGAAAGGAAAACAAAGTTGCAGTTGCTCTTTCCAGAAAAGGAGGATTTTATTCCCTATCAATCATAACCTGTCAGGAGTGGGAGGACTTGGAAAAGGAGCTCTTGGAAGATGATAAATATAAAGAGATTATCCAAGCACTTTGGGGACAGCCAGATTCAGTGCCAGATTTCAAGGTACAGAGAGGGTTACTTTATTACAAAGGCAGATTGGTTATTCCCAAGAATTCTGATAGAAGGGGTTCAATTCTAAGGGAATTTCATGAGTCAGTAGTGGGGGGTCATGCAGGAAGCTTCAAAACCATGAAAAGAATCTCCAATCTATTTTATTGGGAAGAGATGAGGAAGGACATTCAGAATTATGTTAGAAATTGTGAAGTTTGTCAGAGGAATAAGCATCAAACATTAAGTCCAGCGGGGTTGCTGCAACCCTTACCCATTCCTAATCAGATTTGGACTGATTTTAGTATGGACTTTATTGGAGGATTGCCAAAAGCAATGGGGAAAGACACCATTCTAGTGGTGGTGGACAAGTTAACAAAATATGCTCACTTCATAGCATTATCACATCCATATAATGCTAAAGGAGTGGCAGAAACATTTTTACAAGAAGTGGTTAGATTGCATGGTTTTCCAAAGACCATAGTTTCAGACAGAGATGGTGTCTTCCTAAGCTCATTTTGGACTAAGTTATTCAGGTTAGCTGGAACCAAACTCAAGTATAGCACTGCCTACCATCCCCAGACAGATGGACAAACTGAGGTGGTTAACAAATGTGTGGAAACTTACCTCAGATGTATGACAGGGATGAAACCAAAGCTGTGGCCCAAGTGGTTACCTTGGACTGAGTTTTGGTACAATACCAACTACCACGTGTCTACTAAGAACAGCCCCTACAAAGTATTATATGGGCAGGATCCACCAGTGTTAATCAGAGGAGACGTGTCCTTAACAGCAGTGGAGGAGGTGGATAGATTGACAGTCGAAAGGAATGATATGATATATGAACTGAAAAAGAATCTGGCTAATGCACAAAACCGAATGAAGCAACAAGCTGATAAGAAGAGAAGGGAGGTCCAACTGACTGTAGGGGAGAGGGTATATCTGAAGATTCAACCCTACAAATTAAAGACTCTAGCCAGAAGAAGTAATCAGAAGTTGAGATTATTGAGAAAATCAATCATGTGGCTTATAAGCTGAAGTTGCCTGAAGATTGTAGAGTGCATCCTGTGTGCCATGTATCTCTCCTTAAGAAAACAGTGTCTACTACTGTATAGACACAACCTTTACCAAAGTGCCTCTCGGGAGAATGGGAATTACAGGTCTGTCCATAAGAAGTAAAGGAAAGCAGAATTAACTCAGTTGGAAAAGTTGAAGTTTTGGTGCACCGGAAGAATATGCCAGAGTTTGAGGATTCTTGGGAAGAGCTGCAACAGTTTCAGAGGCAATTTCCTGACTTCCACCTTGGGGACAAGGTGGTAGTTCCAGGGGGAGTGATGTTAGAGTCAAGGGAAGTCAACCTCTTGATAATAATAATAGTATTAGCTATTATGATAAAGTGTATTCCAGAAGGAAAGGGAATAATAAGTAGCTAGCTGTATTCTTTGTGGGGGTCGGGTGGACTTCTATAAATAGATAGCTAGGGGATGAATAAGGCAGGCTGTAATTTTGTTAGTTGGTTGGGACTGGAGAGTTGACATCTCTTTAACTGTCAGGCTCTTTCTCTCTTTTCTGTTGATCGAATAACAATCTTGTTCACTGTTCATGTTCGTTCCTCTTTTTCTGTCGCAAACCTCACTGATTCCAGATAGATACTTAACAAAGTAGTGGACCAAATTGTGACTTTAGTGACTATAATTGTATTCAAATGTTACGACTATAATCTTACTCATAATAACTAATAGTCACATTTTTGTCAATAGATTTTTTATTAGTAATGTTTTAGGAAAAACCTCTATTTGTGGAAGGGGAAACGTAATTAGATAATTCGGCTAAGCCACCACATTTGGTATGATATAATTGATTATAGTCTGTTTGTGTTACTTAAAAAAGTGCTCTTCTTTTGCTTAACAAAGCTACAAGTAGTGTTTTTAAATAGGTGCTTCTACCTGGATTTAAGTACTTTTAAGTTTAAGTTGGAAGGAAGCAAGGTCAGGGTGCTTAAAAACGCTTTTAACTTTTTCTATTACATTTTACCTAACGAATACACCAAAAAGTACTTTTCACCTAACACTCTAACTTCTACATTTTAAAAATCATTTTTCTTTTCAAACATTATCAATTTTTACTATTAATCACTTTCTATGTAATCTCGAATATAAACCGCTTCTCAAAAAGCAAAACAAATGCAAATACTCTTTACATTATGATGATTATCTGATTATCATCATTGTCTTAAATGTTTGGTGATCACCTTTATTAAAACATTTATTTCTTGCATCTTCAGCAACAGCAGCAGCACGGTGGACAGTAAGGGTACTGGAAAAGCTGTGGTCGAGGGTGATGGCGACAATATCAACAAAATTAAAACGAAAGAATCAACCCCGCAGTCAGATGGCAGCAATGATGATGTAGTAGAATTTTATTTGTCTCAGATGCATGATCTCTCATTCATGCTTGACACCAACCTTTCCATTCCCTCCAAATCACATAGTAGCAATCCACGTCATTGACCACCTCTCTCTCTATCTCTGTTGACTTGCTCCGGCCACAAGGCCCACAACATGCATGTCTTCTAACTTATTCTGGTTTCTGTTTGACTTCTTTATATAAATATGGGGTTCTCATAAGCTCATTTCTTGTAATATGTATGTAGTCCACTCTAGCCTAGCATATAAACAAGGTTGTTTTGTTCTGCAATTCCACTGGTTGGTTTAATTTGTATGCAGCCAGGCAGAGAGACAGGTAGGGACTAAAGGGTGTGTTTTCTCTTCCAGTAGTTAATTTATCTTTTAGGGATTCACACGTTATTGTAATCAGTTATATAAAACATGCTACATCTACACCATAAATCCATTAGCTGAAACAGTATGCACGTTATAATATCCTGAATGATAAAAACCTCCATAACAATAAAAACATACATAAGAAAACATACATTATTGAGTATACAGGCATACATCTAAATACTTCATTCGTCTTTCTTTATTCTATTCGATCTGGTGGGTAGTGACATTGAGAAACAGTTGTTGCAGCATCCTTGCACACTGTGGATCTTCCTGAAAACATATTGTGTATGAGAATTGGAACTATGGGGTGTTCTGAGTTGATTCTTATTCCTCTGAGATTATATTCAAAATCAAAGTTTTCTATTGTGTGAAAATTTTGAGTGTTCGTCATTGCCTCTTAATATTTGTGTGATGGAAGGACCTGGCCCAATTCTGGGTCCAATATTTGTGCTACCCATAATGTGGACTGGAAAAACAGAACCCATCCAGTTCGGGCCTATTTAGAAGGATCTGAAGCTGGTTTAGATTGGTCTCATTTCTAGAACCGGTTCTGGTTCTATACTCTCTAGTCCTGGTCTGGTTCTGGAAACCAGACTAGTCGATCAGACCACCATTACTTATGCTACATGAAATAAATATCACTTGGAGCATTTACATAGCTTGTCCTTTGGGACTAATGATTGCAAATGACCAAAAGATTACGTAGCTTGCATGATGTATATGTTGTTACAAAATTGTTTTTATGTACTTGAAAAAGATTCAATTATTCGCTAGAGGGGAGAGTGAGTTGATGGAAATGGATGGAATAAATGAATGGAGAACTCACACGAAGAAAGTTGATGAATTTTTCTTGGGTCATTCTTGCAGGAATACAGTTCTTAAAAGCATCCATTGCCCTGTGGCAAGCAATATAACATGAAGTAGTGATAAGTTCAAGGAAAAGGGTAAGAGAAGCATAATGGGCAGGGAGAGACAGACAGCGTGAGTGGCTAACCTCGGAGCTTCGCAGAGCCCAAGGTAACAGCGAATAAGGAGTCTTAGTAAGCGTAAACACGGCTGCCTCTCAGGGAGTCTGTCTACCGCACTTCCCAGTACACGAACCAATGCGAAGAACCGTGCCCCATATGCAGTGCAGTACTTCAACCCCTCCTCTTCCATCACTATCTTCAGTATCACCCAGGCTGAAACCTGCATTCATCTTCTTTTTGTGAGTTTTTTTATATCTACTCTATGTGCTGTGTGTATAAATACCATCCGCCTAAATTAGTTTCTTCTGAAATTAAATGTCGAAACTCTTAACGAAATATACTTTGTGAAATCAATGAACTTACCGTCTGAGTGAGCTCATCACCAAGTTCCATGCAACGGAGGCACATAGGAAAAAATTCAGACTTCAGGAGAAAATGGACAATTAGTTTTCCTTCTAGACCCTCACCCTGCACCCAAATATTTATTGCACTCGGAGTTTAAAATTGAAATGCAGAGATATTGGAAAGAAGCAAGAAAAAGCATGGATAAATTTGTAGTTTATATGGCAAACTACAAATACCAAATTTGAAATTACGCAAGTACTCCGTAATTGGTAATAAAAAGTTTTTCAAAGAAGAATATGGAGGAGATAATGAAAAGTAGAGGAACTGAGGAAGTATGATGTATGCACTAGGGGTGTATTGGTCCTGGTTTTGGGCTGGTTCCGGTCTGGCCAACTGCCATTTATATACAGGAGCCCGGACCGGAACATGTAGTTCCGTTTCCACGCTAGTTCCGGTCAACTAGATGTTTCTGGTTCTGGTTAATCGGTCGGTTCTAGTTTCGATTTGGTCTTGAGTTCAATTTTTTACCCCCTCACCCACCCCACCCCTTTTCAGCTGCTTCCATATTGACAACAATGCAAAAAGGGGAATAGACTGGGATCAAGCCATCTAGTTCTGGTCTCTAACTTGGGCCACCCAGGATCGAGTCTCTAAACTCTCCCCTGGTTATGGTTCCAACCCGGAATTTCAGTGGTTTGAGCCGATTCAATCAAATTCAATGTTACCAAACGGACCCTAACAATGATGATAGTTTAATGAGAATAACAATAATTCACCTTGACTAAGGCACCAAATACACCCAGACTTGTAAGCCGCAACCACTCCAAAGGCTTATTCCCATTTGCAGTTATTCCCAGAAACGGGTGGAGATAAAATGTTATTTTTGCTGCAAAATATTGACAGCAGCAAACTTATTAGCTAAAAACCTAGAAGTCAATTAATCAAGCTAATGAAGTTCCGTAAAAAATTTATAGTTTTTGTTCGGTTCATTACCTGGGAAGAAAGAAACCAAAAATAGTAGTCGGACATAAGAAACAATTGCTTTTGCTAAGGATTTGTTACATTTAATTCACACAAATACACAATGTTACTATATAGTCCATCTGTTCCATAAAACTTTGTTAAATTTTCTTATTTGGCTGTCCAAAAAACTTTATCATTTTCTTTTAAATTAATAAATACGGAGTAATAAATATGTGATTAAAATTATGTACCTTTGACAAATTCCATCCTTGTCTGCGGGTGGCTAGCTATGCACTGTGGTACCAAACATAAGTTAGACTATATCATGGAAGAAGAATAGAAGATGACAGGACAATGATACATTTACTGCAGTACTATTAATACGTTTGTTTCTTGGCCGTTTCAGCCAAAACGCTGCAAAATGCAGCGGTTTCTCTTTGTAAATAAATGGCGATTTGGCCTAAGTCGCTGATATCCAAACGGGGCCTTTCTCTCTATGATAAATATAAGTAAACTTTCCTTCAAAAAAAAGTAGACTTATGTACTAGGGAAATTTGATGATGTAGAACATTGAATTGAATTGAATACGTTACATTTAAGACTGTTGTCAACTTGTCATAGTTCTAACCTTCAAAAAACCAACACTGTCTTGAAATAGATAAAGTTTGATACTTAATTCTTATTCACTCAATTCGGGAAAAAAATTGGAGAGCAGAATTCCAATTCTGAGTGAAAGTATTGATAATTTTAGAAAATGGGGTATATATAAAACGGAACTTTGGTGAAATTAATGGGTTAAATGTTTTAATATGGATAATACAAAGTGTTAAAAAGAAAAAATAGAAGTTGCCCTGAATAGGAGTAAAGGCGTTTTGAAATTCCAAAATATGATTTTCATGTTTTTATTCTCTAAATAAGATTAATTTATGTCATGTTTGGAAAAAACTCAGAAAAAACTGTCATGTTTAAAGTCTAATAATGTCGAACTTGACAGAAATTACTCCTATTTAAAGAATAAAAACATGACTGTCATATTTTGAAATTTCAAAACTTTTTTATTCTCGGACAATTCAATTTCTATTTTGTTTCTCTTGAGAGGAAAGTGGAAGACCGGGAAAGAACCTGAAACAATGCAATGGCATTGCAAACGCGAGTAGATTCTCTGGCGGTCATCTTTGAGGGTTGTAAGTTCTTGTATGCGGACATGATTTCCTAAAAGGAAATTACATATTCATAGGTAGTCCAAAGTATTATTAATTCTTAAATGAAAGTTAAACTTAATGTCCTATCTGAGAATAAAGAAATGCCGAGTATATAAAACTCAATTAATAAACAACACGGTTTTGTCCTTGAGCTTTTTTTAAATGACTTTTTTTGTGATAAACTACTTATATTAAAATCGAGAAACATATAAGATATCTTTCAGACAATTATTATAGATCCGATCATAAATTCTATGAATAAAAATAGTATCAGTCACCACATAGTATCGTGTTGGGGAAAACATAACAATTAGTCATTAATGTATCAAAAACATATTTTTATCTATCTCCATTTTAGAAATATATTCTTTATTACGGAGTATTTCATTTTATCATATTTAAAACAATGAAAATACCTTCAAGCATTCTCACTAGGGAAAAAATGAATAATTCAAAGTGTAATCTCTCTTTATCACCAAATTCTTCTTCAACTTTGATTGGATAAATAACAAGGAAATAAAAAAGTACTTCCATTTACTTTTCTTGGTCAATATAATTTGTTTTGTTTTCTTATTCAGGGTATGAGTTTCTTAGGGAAAAGTATGTGTTTTGACTTTGAGGGTTTTCGTCTAAACTCAGTCAGAAAGAAGGTGATGTGTCACTTTTTTAATACATCCACGTGCGTTTAGACGAAAATCCTCAAAGTGAAAACACATGCCTAATTTGTAAAAAAGTAAAGAATTAATTCCACTTTAAGTCCTCCGAGTTTTGTGTCATTTCCATATTTAGTACTCGTCTTTCACTTTATCCATTTTTGGTACCTTACTATTGTTTTCTTGACCATTTGTGGTCCATTTCTGAGCATATTTACTATCGGAAAAGGACTATATATGGTCAAGAAAACAATAGTCAGGTACCAAAAATGGATAAAATGAAAGACGAGGACTAATTGTGGAATTGGTGCAAAACTCGAAGGACCTGTAAACCTCACACCCTTATCTGTAAACCACAAATACATTTACTATACATTCCCCCTTTTATCAATATAACTTATTTGCAATTCTATGTAACTTTTAGTTAGTGTAGGATATGTAAATTTTAATTAACAAAACTGATTTAAATATTTGTAGACAATATTAGGGCATGTTTACTTACAGAAATATTTTCTAGTTTTCTATTCTGTTTTCCGCTCTTCAATTTTCTGTTTTCATTTTTCAATTTTTCTATCTCCAATTTTTTGCTTACATTTTTTTGTTTTCCATTTTCAAATCTGAAAACATGTTCATCAAAAATTTTCACCCAGTCATGTGACCGACCAGAAGATCGAAAGTACGATCCAGTCCGAAATCGAACCTAGTACAACCCAAGTAGGATACCAAGTCTCACGTATAGGAAAGTAAATCCGAGATTGAATCGCAGGGTCATTGACCAGCCCGGACAGGGATCACCAGGTCATTGATAGGACTAGCCCGAGACCGCCTAGTTGTCGATCGAACCTAACACAGACTGTCGGTTCATTGGCCTAACAGAATGGGGCTGTCGGGTCGTTGATCGAACAGGACGGGGATCGCCGGGTGGTTGGTCGGACTGTGCAGGGGCCACCGGGTTGTGGACCAGACAGGGACCACCTGGTCTTCGACCAAACCGGACCAGGACCGTCGGGTTGTCGACTGGATCGAACTGGGATTGCTCGGCCATTGATCAGACCGGACCGAATCTGGACTGTCGGGTTAATGAACGGACCGGACCGCCGGGTCATTGAACGGACCAAATAGGGATCTCATTGACCGGACTGGACTGGAACTACAAATTTTATCTTCATAACTGGTTTTACCTTAAAAGTTAAAACCCACAAAAGTGAATCAATTTGGAATGAACCAAGTTAACTTTGCTATCAAGATTTCCTTAAAAACAAGAAATATCAGAATTATAAAAACTTCTTTTTAAAAGAAAGTTTCAAATGGTTATTTGGATGGAAGAAGAAAAACTATCAATGCCTGGACAAATGATGCACTATAAAGATGTGTATAGATAGATAATAATTTTAAATAGACACTCTTTATGGCATTGTTACTTTGTTAGTGTATATTGCAACATGAAATGTTTTTATTAGACTACATTAATAATATATAAGGGAAAACTGTTAAATAGGTCCTCAAACTTTCATAAAAAGGTCAATTAAGTCCTTCTATATGATATTCTGTTCGGCCCGTCGCGATTTGGGGCAGTTCCTGCTAGAATTTTTTGATGCAATTTTTTGAGCATCTTATTCACCAAGTCTAGTTTACTCATACCAAATTGCAGCTAAAAAATCAATCAAGAACACATTCAAATTAATTCTTGAAGATAACTGCGCATTTTTGCGTTCTCGAATTAATTTGAATGCACTCCCGATTAAATTTTTAACTGAAATTTGGTATGGGTAAACTAGACTTGATGAATAAGATGCTCAAAAAATGTCATCAAAAAATTCCACCGAGAACCACCCCAAATTGCGACGACTGGACAGAGTCTCCTATAGAAGGACTTAATTGACTTTTTTATGAAAGTTCGAGGAACTATTTGACAATTTTCCCTAATATATATACAAAGAATGTCATGATTGTAGATTCACTAATCCAATTAAATAAGTATGACATGATCACATGATTGAGCAAATACCTGTAGGAGTATAAATACTGTTTTGAATGAATTCCATAGCAACAGGGGTAAATCCTCACATGTTTCACGCATCTATATAATAATAAAAGGAAATAATCAAGACTGCCATAATTAAATTTTCATAGTGATACAACATCAGGTACATATATATTTAGTACTCATTCATTGGGAACCCAATAATGCCCCTGTTTGTTTTTGGACGGTTCGGCACCGACACGCTGCTTTTCTAGTTAAAAAAACAACATTTTTTATGCAACCGCCATTATCCAGACGAGCCCAATAATATTTTAAAATACTCAAAAAAGAGAGGAAAAATAAAAATGTAACATCTAATTTGAAAATAAAACTTACGGAATATAAATACTATTCAAGTACAATAAAAATGCTATTCAAGTAAAAAAGAAGTATTATGAGCCACATACAAACTAATGTGACCATAATTCCATAAATATTTGTTAGGGATAATAACTGCTACATGGATCAAAGTTCTCACGAAATTGTCTATTATCACATATCTCATATACTTTGGACAAAAGTCACACTATGTTAATTATTGTCAATCATGAGTAAATAATGTAAAATGCACTCGATAAGACTGATTAAAAGCATGTATGCATGTAGTAAAAACATGTGGTTGGTGGGTGATTTGGTCATTAAACCTGCAATTACCACCATCTGTTACTCCATTTTTTTTTACATATTTTGTAAACTTTTAGTATATATCCATACATGATACACCATACGCTCCAAGTTAGAAATGATATTTTAATTGTGACAACATTTATGTTATGACATTCACATATATAATGATTTACATATCTATATATAGAAACAAATCAAACAACTATTCAAAATAGCGGAGATAATATGCAACAACTAATTCTGGGTAAACAAGGGAGATGAACTACTTTGACTATTCAAATCAATTATATACAGATATGAATGTACAAATGGTTACACTACTTTGATATGGGAGTAGTGTAACGGTAGTGGAGTCCTTGCATGGTCATGCATTGCGATATAAGCGTAACTTGGTGATTTAATTTGGTAGAATAATAGCCCCCTAGATCATGCTTGAAGAGGCAATTTAATTTGTTGAATGATACTCCCTTCGTCCCATTTTAGTTAGCCAAACTTGACTTTTCACGTCAATGACATCTAATTTTGACCGATTATATGTTTATATAGAGAAAGTATTAATAATATGAAAATGATATTAAAATGTTCTTTGTTAAAAATACTATCATAAAAGTATAAAATTATTAAACTTTGCGTAAATATATTAGTTTAAATATTTGGTCAAAGTTTACCACCTTTGACTGGAAAAGTGAAGATGAGATATTGTGACGTCCTCACAAGTCGTTGGTAGGGAACGAAGTAGGATCATCAAATAGGGTTTCGGCTGACAAACTACATTTGGGGTAAGAGTTGACCGAAGTGACAGTGGTGATACACGAGAGCATGTGTTATTGTCCCACATCGGATATATTTAAAAATTAAACACTATATCAAGATCTAGGCTCCTCCTTCTACCAGGTTGACCTTTTAGGATGAAACCACATGTTTTAACATGGTATCAGAGCCAAATTGATACATGGTGTGGGCCCCCTTATGAAAATGATTGACACG